GGACTACCAACTCTGCTACTGGGAGGGACCAGAGCATTCCGGGTCTCAGAGTTCAATTAAGCAGAACCACTGTCAAAAATCAACGTCAGGTATTATCTCCTGGACTTGGCCTTACGTGCTTGTGAGCTGGTTGAACCGCCCCAATGAGGTGGTTATGTTCATGCCTCATGCTGGAGCTCGAAGTCCACAGGCGGGCAGTCCGGGAAGGAAGATGGAGGTGAAGCACGAGAGCGAAGGCAAGCTGGAATCGGTGAGGTGGATTGGAGCCCATGTCCATCTGCCCGCAATGGTGGAGACAGGGGGCATCCCCCAGGAGAAGCTGGGGCCCCCTGTCCTGGAGCCAGACAGCCTCCTGGCCCAGGTATTAGAGAAGCTGAACAGTGACGGTTGCAGGCCCCGCGCCAACGAGCCAGCGGTCAGTGACAAGAGGCATGAGTTATGACAGCGCCCTGGGCCTCTGTCCTGGCCTCAGAGCCTGTGAACAGTAGGGCCGCTGCTGCTTTTCTGACCTCAGACCGCACACGGGGTCTCCTGTGGCCCATCCAAAAGCAAACCTACGGGGAACTCTGCCCATCCAAGCTGACACCTTACAAACTGCAACGGAGTGATGTTTGTGTCCCCCTCCCCCCATTCATACATTGACATTCTGCCCCCCAAGTGATAGTGTCAGGAGGTGGCACCTTTGGCAGGTGATTAGGTCATGCGGATGGAAGCTCACGATGGTCCCAGAGAACTTCCCTGCATCTTCCGCCATGGGAGGACACAGCGACGAGAAGGCCATCACCAGACACAGCGTCTGCTGGTGCCGCGATCTTGGACTCCCAGCCTCCGGAGCTGGCAAAGAATGTTTCTAAGGCACCTGGTCTCTGGGGTTTTGTTACGGCAGCCCGAGTGCGCCAGGACAGAAACCCACCACAAGCTTAGCTCTTCCTCCCCAGAACCTCAGGGATCGGGGCCTGATTTTGGAGCTTGGTGAAAAGAATCAGAAAAGGAACTCAAACCCCAATTTCCACTTTCAGATAAAGAAAGTGAAGCCCCTGGAGACTGCGAGATGCCGGTGGCCAGGGTGGAGCTGAGGCAGACCTGCCCCCTCTCTGGTTAACACCGAGTCCCTCCCAGGCCCTGTTTGGGTGCTGGCACCTACCGCGGGGGTTATAAGCAAGGCCCTTCCGGTCACCAGACCCGCAGCTTTGCTAGTTCTTAGCTCTAGCACCCGGGCAAGCACTTCAGTGATAGCCGGTGTTAGAACACCCGCACGCGCCCAGCGGACTCTGCCGTGCATGGCTTAGCTCCAACGTGGAGCCCCAGCCCGGGATTCCCTCGCCTCAACAACAGCCACGCGGGCCTCCCTGCTGGACAAGCACCAGACCCGTTGCCTTTTCGAGGCCTCACTGGCCACACGGACTCACCCTGGATCTCCTCCCTTCTAACGGCCCCAGGAGTCACCTGAGCGGTTTCTGGTTCTCCTTCCCCTGGCCCTGCTGTCCTGGGAACCCCCTTCTGAACGAAAGCGAAGGTGCCCCGATGGCCTTTCATGGTGGGCCTTGCCCAGTCCGGGGCTCCTGGGGGCGACAATGATTGAGGAAGGCAGACGTGACCCCCGTGGGCCTGAGGGCTGCTCCTCTCTCCTCCTGACCCCTAGGAGGCCTCAAGGCTGGAGGCTCAATGGAATCACCCGAGTGAGTTTAAGAGTTTAAAAAAAAAAAAAGTAAAAGGCAGCAAGCGCCAGGCCCCGGACCCATTACATCAGAAATTCTCGGCTAGAGCCCGGGGCAAAATTTTTCCAAAGCTCCCAGGTGACTCCGAAGCGCGTCCCTGGGTTGAAAACGACATGTTAGCACTTCTTTTTGCAGGCAGGTGGCTGCAACACAAAGGTGGCCACGTCCACCAGCACAGGCGAGCTTGAGCGCTGGGGAGCAGGGCCCACGCAGACCGCCTTGCGGGGCTCCAGCACCCCATCTGTCTACAGATACCATTTATGCCACTTCACGTGGCAAATGCCTCTGTACAGGACAGGGTGACAGTAACTCAGGTCCTTTAAGGGCGACGGAGGGGTCCCTCAAGTACAGAAAGTGCTGTTACGTGCTGCACGACACGTAAATTCTACTTAAGCTGAAGCTAAATTTTTGTTTCCTCCCTGAATTATTTACTCCTCAAACAATGAATGGCGGCCCCTGGGAGGTGGTGGTGACTGCGTGGGTAGGTCGGGCAGGAATGACTTTAAAAATCATCACTACAGATGCGGCAGTAATGAATTCGACAGACGAAATGGCCCTCGGAGCGCTGGTCTCTCACCAGGTCCTTTGGTGAATTTAGGAGGCCCCCACCCCCCATCTGTCATTTCACCTTCCTGGGGACTTGCTCGCACATCTGGAATGAGCCAGCACCCTCCGACAGGAGCGCGGCACAGTCCCACACCGCGAAGGAAGCACGCTCCACTTCTGTGGCTGTCGGCAGTCACCCCGACTTGGATGTCTGCACCCATCGTGTACCCCAGGGGCTCTGCTCACACCTACCTGGCCTCTCCCACCCTCCCCAGCCTCTGCCTGAAGGTGAGCATGCTTTTCTGTCGGGCCAAGCCCCCAACCAGGACTGGCCACCAGGGCTGGTCGTGACACACCTCATGACCTCACAGATGAGATTCCACCCCGAGGGCCGGGGCTGGCGGGGGCAGGGGGAGAGTGAACATTCTTGAATAAAGCAAATCCCCACCATGTGCTTTCTGCAGACAGCCCACATGGCAGGCTGAACGGGCCTGAAGCACTCTGCTGAGCACACTGACGCTGAAGCCCACCTAACTCAGGCCAGTTTTTGGTTTCCATTTTTAATTTCACCAGTTTCTCTTAAAACGGAGGTTTTCACGAAGAGGGGTACTGTCTACCAAATCCCAGCTGTGAACTCAAGAGCGTAGAGTCAGAGCTGCAGCAAAGAATCATCATCTCCACAACTAATTTTAGAAAATAGTTTAGTACATTTTTGTTATAAAATCCATTTACAGGAGGTTATTCACATGTACTTATCAAATTTGTTCCTGGTGATACATGAAAACGTAGAACCAAATAAACTGTGCACATAAATCCAAGGAAAATTATATACAGAGAAGCAAAACAAGTTTTTAAGCAGAATATATTCATGTTGAAAGAACGAACAGTGAAGAAGACAGGCCACTTTCTTGTAGTGCTGTGGCAAGGACGGAGCAAACAGCCGTATTCCTCACTCTGCAAGATTAACTACCACTCACCAACACTGCTGGGACAGCCACACCGAGAAAGGCCCCATTTAACACATAGGAAACGCTTTATACCAATGTTTTTTTTACCAAGTGGAACAACAAACAGTTTCAAATGCAGTGTCAGGTGGCATGTGTTCGCGGGGAGAGGTCGGCAGGACACAGGCTCGGATGGGGAGCGTGGGCAACCAGCGGATGGACAGGGCATGTGAGAACACGCGTCACGCTCATGGGAGGCCCACGGTCCCAGCGTGGCAGCGAAGTCCGAGGCCTGGGAACAGGAACCCTTCTTTCTTAGTCCCCGTGCTGCACCAGCAGAGGGAGAATCCTGACCCCAACTGGGTCTGTCACGCCTCCTTTCTAAGCCTACAGAGTTTAGGCCCTTTACACTGCTACCACCAAGAATCTGCTCAAGAAGAGTAGAAGGAAAGTAAACTCAAAGTAACAGTGCCATTTCTTGCCAAAGGCACAAGCAGGAAGCTTACAGAGCCCCTGACCCGGACAGGGTGGGGCTTGCCCTGCACCTTCTCACATTCGACGGGCCGAGGACCCACGCTCTACCCACACATGGGGAGCAGGCTGACCGTGGGGCCGGAGCGTGTGCTCCCTGAGGGCAGGCGGTGTCCGCTCGACGTCAGCAGACCCCCGCTGGGGTGATGTGGGTAATGAAGAAGCAGAATGCTTAAACTTTTGGCAATCAAACATTTAAAGCTTTTAATAACCAGCTTCAGTAGAATTTCTGACACAAAGCCCTCTTTGCTTAAAAAGCAGATGGCAAAATTTCAAACGGTGCACAGTAATCTTCAAGGGGGAGGCCCTCCCCAAGTTAGCCAATGGGCTGCCTGGCATTCCCTACAAACCACTAGTTCTGATAGGTGCCAACTGTTGATACCATATATTCTCATGTCCATGAGTTTGGAAAACTGGACTTTGCAATGAGCGAGCCGAGCCCCCTCAAACATCCCCACCCCATGGCACCCCAAACCACAGCACAACCCCCTCTAACCAGATGACCCTACAATAGTGGCATCTTTTCAGGAGTTAACACAGTCTCCAAACATCATAGGAAACCTGTCAACTCTCCTCCTGGGTCTCAACTTCCACTGTCTGCACTTCCCTTCAGCCTTCTCTTCTGAAAGGGTGTTTCTTTCCCACCTACAGTATTCTATCTGGCTGGCCCTCCTGAATCCCAAGCTGCCAGGTTGGTGACCGGAGGCCCCTGGGGAGACGTCTAACATGCAGCTCCCCAGGCACCCCCAGAGCAATCTGGTTGGATTCTCCCGGCAACCTGCCGGCTTTCATGCACAGGGGTCCCCACGCTGCTCCAGCCCCGGCAACCGTGGGACCTGTCACCCACCAGTTATGGGACACTCACAATATGCTGGGGGGGGGGGCATCTGAATGGTAGGACAAGAATTATTCTTCCGTTTCATCTTCATCTGTTTCAAAGGGAACACGAATTTTAGCTAGAAACTCTGTGCTTCCTGAAATAGGAGGCTGGACTCATCAGAGCAGTGCAATAACCCTGTGCCAAGGAGCCTCACCTGGAAATGTCCAACAGCAGCAGAACTTTACCGAACAGGACCCGGCTGCCCGAAGTTTCCCCCAGGAGATTCCACTTGTTTTCTTAAATAGAACTAGAGCCATCTGACCCACCGGCATGAACCCTGCCTCTTCCAGAATACCTGGGCTGCTGAACAGGTCTTGCCGGAACAACATCTGAAAGGGCCTGCCCTCCCCCTCCCACCTTTTTGTTTTGTTTTGTTTTTTAAATATAAAGTTTGTTCTGCTGAAAATGACTAACATTTTACACAGGGGAAAGAAAAGCGGTCTACTAGATTACATTTTAAAACGATTTTCTTATTTGCTATACAAATATACATTTCAACTTCGACAACACCCGCCTCAGTCTGACCCCTTATCTCAGAAGGACGGGAGCTCAACATTTTAAGTCTCTGACTTCAAGGACAACATTACAGACACACAAAGGCCCTCGAAAGCTTTTGCACCTGACAAAAAACTATGGAAGATGACCAAGAGGCCCAGGTGTTAGGATACATTTTCCATGTTTTCCAACAGCACACAAGCTCCTTTAAGGAAAAAAAATCATCTTATCTGGACAGTCCCATTAGCTGGTCATCTGAAGTTTGCAACGCTGCTGTAGCCGACAGTCTGTGCCACGTGGCTTTACTATAAAAGCCTTCTTTTCTTTGAGCTGCAGTCCTCCTTCTGCAGTCCCCTCTTGTCCCAGCCGGGGCTCCTCTTCGAGTAGTGGCTCTCCGGGCTCCACCTGTCCTGGTCGCCCTCACTGAAAGCCCGGGTCTCTCTTCTGTGGCTGAGTCCTTCTTCCCAGTCACATCTTCTTTTACTTGTGGAGACATCAGTCCCAGCAGCTGGAGGTTCCCACTGCGCGTGAGGTTTGTGGTTGTTCAGAGCGGTTCCTCTGGCAGTGGACTGCTGTGCGCTACCCAGATCCTGGTGACTGGCAGGGAAGCCTGGCTCGCCCGAGGGAGGTGTCGCTCCGGGGTGCTGGGGGCTCAAGGGCTGCGGATCCCTTAGGCACATCCCTTTGGCTTCGGGGTCCAGGCCCATCCTCCTGAGCAGTCGTGGGTCCCGAAGCCGGTCCTGAACGAGAGGCCTTTCAGGGTCCTTTGTAGTGACAGTACCAGAAGATTCCTTGGAGTCAGGGGGCGTGTGATACAGGGAAGAAGTGAAAGATGTCTTGGCAAATTCACTGTCAAGCTTGTTGCTGGGCAAGCCGCCCTGGGGTCTGGACGCCTCCGGGGCTACGGCTGGCGGGTGAGTCAGACTTCTCTGCAGCACGGGCTTGAGCTTCAGAATCTTCGCTGCGTCGTGCCTGTAGTTCTTGTCGCACGTCTTGATGATGGCGCCCCGCTTCTGTGCATCCTGAATCAGGTGGTTCCAGTGCTGATTTTCCTTGAAACAGAGAAGGGAAAAACAATCACACCCCCCAAACACTCAGATGCTTGGGAAGCATGAAGTTTCTGCTTTCGTTTCTGAAAAATAAATACACTTCACGAACAAATTCTCAAGAATCCATTAAAGGAAGAATAAGTTCAAATACGGAATTATGAAGCCATGTTACCAGAAAAGAGCACCAGTCACCACCTATGAGAAAGAACTTCCACCATTTTAGCCTGTGGCTCATGCCGTGTGGGAAGCAGAGCTTCTGCAGACTGGACCAGCTGTCTGCAGCCACGAGTAGCTACTTACATTTCAATTAGTTAAAATTAAATAAAATAAAAAGTTCTGTTCCACAGCTGCACCAGCCACATTTCAAGTGCTCAGGGGCCACACGTGCCTAGTGGTTAGTGTGCTGGATGGTGCGTAGAACAGCTCTGTCACCCCAGAAAGTTCCCTTGGACACTTGATCTAGAGTCTTGCCTATCTCTTGAAAGGCTAACATTCTGGAGCAGGAAGGCTTGGTTTCAGAGAGCCCTAACTTTTGGGTGCGTGTGACTATTCTAGAAAGAGGCCCACAGCCTTCACTGAATTCCCAAAGGCCTCCCAGACTCCAAAGGGCTACACTGTTTTAATCCACTGAGACAACTATTCCACAGATTTTTCCCACTGTCTGTCTCTTTTCTGGAGGAACTTAAGTTACAAAAGCAAACCTAAGGAGAAGGAAACCCCACCTGCACGCATCTCTCCTCTCTTCCCGTTTGACTTTCCTTAGCAATAAACTGCCACTTCACAACCATCAGAACGTGGGCCTCTTTAAAGAGTGAGCGTGAGAGGAGAAAATCCAAAGCCTAAAGAGGAGGATTAGGAGACAGCTGCCCTCACGTGGCCTCCGGCCCTATTCAAAAAAACTGGGTGAGGGCAGCAGTATTTACTTGCTGCATGACCGTGGTCAAGTCAACCTCTCTGAGCCCGTTTCCTCATCTGTAAAATGGGCATAATGTTTTATTTAACGGATTCTAAAATGCACATTTTCACATTTTACCATTTCTTAATTTGGGGCACCTCCTGGCCAGGTAGCAGTTTCCGAGTACCTAGTCCTGGAGGAATTCATGGTTAGGCAACCACAACCCCTTGACTTTCAGTCAATAAACCATTTAAAAAAAAGACTGAGTCCCAGCTCTTGCCTGAAAACCTATCCACAGATACCTTCTGAAGAGACAAGATAGTACCAGCACTAACACCTGGGAGAATGGAGACTGGGAGTTGGAAGAGAACCCTGGAGACCCTGGTGGGGCACCTTTAGGAAATGCGGAGTCCCCAGCCCGCTGACTGCACAAGGAACAGTTTGTGGCAGAACAAGGACACGTGTGACTGGGACCTGGGGAATGATTCTGTAGTGCTAGACTCGGAAAGTGAAGTCCTCCCAGGAATATCTTTTATGTATGAGCAGAGGGCAATAGAAGTCTGTCTTGTCGAAACAAGCCTAAAGGAGTTCTTTTAATATATATAAAAATTCTACGTGAAAACAGTGTCACAGTTTAATAGTAGTACATAAAATAATGATTCCCATCATAATGGCTTCTTGGATTGGACGAACTGGGATTGCGTGAGGGCTAAAGGCTCGTGCACAACGCGCACGCCCACGGCCGGCGTGCACCAGACAGGCCCGCGCGAGCACTACTGGGCCCGGGGCTTGGACCTCCTTCTCACTCTGGAGCGCTCCAGAGCGTCTTACCCTGAGGCTGAAACACAGATGTGATATGAAGCAGATGGCCTTGCTGCTATTTTTGCCAAGTCTATGGCACCTCAACTTGGTATTTAATCCATCCTAGGATCACAAAAACACTTTTGAGAAGGGGCTATAACTCTTGGTTTCTCAGAGGAAACCAAGTGCCTTCACCATTGATTCTGTTTCCATAAGGGAAACTGGGTTAAGAATTAAAAAAAAAAAAGGAAAAAAGCCCCAAGGACCACAGAAGTCAGTTAGAGAGCCCAAGTGATACCCTGGGAGTTTTCCTATTCTGGTCTTTCTGTGCCACTGGTTTCCGAGAGTGCAGACACCCCAGCTCCCCGCCTGCTCCGTCCAGGGGCTCCCCCATCCCCACTCCGTCCTGCACAGTCACCACTCATCCATCCCCAGGCTCTCCATGGGGTGCACTGCCACTGCCAAGGCACATGCAGATTCCCGGGTGCCAAAGAGAGGGGGCAGTAAAACCAGGGGTGCCCAGGAAGGCTCCTTTAATCAGGGCGTCGCTAGGAGACACACAGCTCTAATATACTTTTTACCTTTCAGGTTAAAACATTACCAAAATTCAACCGTGTAAAAAGGATAATTCTCATAGGTTAATCAACTGGTAAGAAATCATTTTTTAACACTTAGATCCTTATGGTACCCAGAAAAACAATTCTGTAAAAAAATCTTTTAAGAAATTTTAAGAAAAAAAAAATCTTTTCTTCTAAGTACAGATTCACAGGAAGTTGCAGAAAAAGTACAGAGAAGTTCTGTGCACGCTTCACATAGTTTCCCCAGATAGTTATAAAAATACTTTTTAAACTTTCAATTTATATGTAAATTTTTGTGGCAGAGAAACCTAACAGCGTGAGATAACAGAAAGGCTTTTAATTATAAAAATATATATCCCCCTGAATTTTATCCCAAGCAAGTACAAGTGGAAATTCAATTTCAAAGAGCAGAAAGAATCATACTGCTATCTGTTCCAATGGATTCATTTAAGAGTGATGTAAAGATTTATTTTTAATAGTTTTATTTTACAATGCCAATATTTGTAATATATTCAAAAACAAAATCTTAAGCAATACTTAAACTTACCGTAACAAATTTTCAATATGAACTTAAAAATAGGTGGTATGCAGCTTTTAAAAATTCCTTCAAGGGGGGTACACAAATAACAGAAGTTGAAGACCACAGATGTGGGAAAGACTGTATTTGAATGCCCTCTGGTGGTACTAACCAGAAAATGGGAAAAATACTGAAAAAAATCTAATGAGTTAGCTCCTCTCCTAACATAACCACTGACTTTGGGAAATACAAAAATGAGAAGAATTCAAAGTTGTGACACCCTGAAGAGGCAAGCAGCAAACACCTGTGTTAGCCAGCTGATATCGCCGACGGAGGCCACACTCTGCCTACCACGGATGTACACCCACCCTGTCTCCTAGAGGAGCTCTGACTCGGCCTCCCCCACCCAAGTGACCCAGGGTGAGCAGTACACTCCCCGTGCCAAAACAGAAAAGAAGATCCAAGCTTCCTCTTGCAAACTCCCTCGAGCTGGCATTAAGCTGGGCCCGTAACAGCCATAGTAGCGGAGTGTCTGCTAAGTACCAACAACTGTTCTAGCACCTTAAGATGTACGGATGGATTTATAGATCTCAACAGTCCTATGATGGAGACGTAATTTTTTTTTCATTATGGATACCGTGGGTACTTGGGCCTTGGACTGGGACAGGGTTAGCGGTTTACATCTATAAAAGCTCCCAGACAGAAGTTGCCGAAGGACAGGATGACCAGGGGGAAGCAGCTCATTATTTTGTAACCCTGCAATCAATTCCATTTTGATGGAAAATAAAAACAAAACCTCAACCCAGTATCAGCCACAATGGGCAAACTCTGGAGCACTCTGGTCCAGAGAATGCACCTACCATGAGGGTCCTTAAATGTCCGAGGATGAAGAGGCTGTACTTGGCTCGTGTGATGGTGACGTTCAGTCTCTGCAAACTTGCCAGAAATCTAAGCAATAAAAACAACGTTACTTCCTTCTGCAGAATGACTTAGCACACGTGCAGGCGACACACGGACACTGCTTCAAAGAGCCTTCCTCGCGCTCCTTCTCCTTCTTCGATGGTACATCATGTTCTCCCTCTTCCCAACACAGGGTCCCCAGCAAAGAAGCAATTCCCATTAAAACCTGGAAACAAAAGGCCTGGCGCTTTCCTTGAAAGTGATGCATCTGTCAATCTCCTATTCGGACTTAGAAAAGATACTGGGAATTTTAACAGTGTCATTCTTTTTTTTTTTTTTCTTAAAGATTTTATTTATTTGATAGAGAGAGCGAGAGAGCACAAGCAGGGGGAGGGGCAGAGGGAGAAGCAGAGTCCCCACTGAGCAGGGAGCCCGATGCGGGGCTCGATTCCAGGACCCTGGGATCATGACCTGGGCCGAAGGCAGATGCCTAACCGACTGAGCCACCCAGGCGCCCCTAAACAGTATCATCCTTAAAGCTTTAGAAACATCCTAAAAACACGCTACTAGATCAGTTATTCCTAGTATATCTGAGATCAGTAAAATGTTGTGGAGCGAGAGGAGAAGCACACACATTATCAGACAAATGTACCAACAGATCTGAGGAGAGCTAAGAAATAACAGAACTGCTGTATGAAGAAGGTGGCCTTGCTTCACAGGATGCCCCAGAGATACCAATGTCTCCACTTGTCCATGCAGACTCTCTCCAAACAGGGGCAGAGGTAACTCATGTTACTATTTTCTTTAAGAGCAAGGAAACTCATTTATAATCTGTAAATTTCACCTGCTCCTCAAGAGCAGGAAAAGGCAGCCACACAGGAGTGTCAGGGCTCTGAGACTCAGAGGAGTTTTCTGTCACTCATTACAGTGTCCTTGGCATCTTTAGTGAGTGAACTGACAGGAGTTAAGGTTTACAAACTTAGCAAAGCACAAAAACACAGAGAAGGTGAAAAGCCACTCTATGACAGATCGTGGAGAGGACAGGCGCCCTGCAAACTACCCCCGAGGCAAGAGTCAGGTTACTCTTAGCTAAGAGGTCAAAGAACAGATTGCCCCTGGATGCAGGGGATAGACAAGGTCCAAGAGAAGCAGACATGACAGTGGATCAACTTTACAAGTGAAAAAGGAAACTTTCATGATGTGACACAAGTTTTTATAAAGGGAAATACCGCAAATAATGATATTCTCCAACAGTGATCAAAAACAGATCTGACTCCGGTGCCTGGGTGGCTCAGTTGGTTAAGCAACTGCCTTCGGTTCAGGTCATGATCCTGGAGTCCCGGGATGGAGTCCCACATCGGGCTCCCTGCTCAGAAGGGAGTTCTGCTTCTCCCTCTGACCCTCTTCCCTCTCGTGCTATCTCTCACTCTCTCTCAAATAAATAAATTCTTTAAAAAAAAAAAGGGGGGCGCCTGGGTGGCTCAGTTGGTTAAGCGACTGCCTTTGGCTCAGGTCATGATCCTGGAGTCCCAGGATCGAGTCCCACATCGGGTTCCTTGCTCAGTGGGGAGTCTGCTTCTTCCTCCGACCCTACCCCCTCTCGTGCACTCTCTCTCTCTCAAATAAATAAAATCTTAAAAAAAAAAAAAACCCAAAAAAACAGATCTGACTCGAGATTACAGACAAGTAAAAGGCCAATGACACTCACCCAATTGAGCCCTGCATGGTATTTGCTCTGACGCACGTAACAATAACGCAATCCTTCTGCCGGCCCTGGAACCCATCCACGGTATCTACTTCCGCTGGCCTATTTACAAAAGACAAATAAGTTTATTGAAAAACGTTAAGATAATTATTAAATATGCATATTTATACAGTAGCATTTTTTCACCTTTTGTCATGGTATCTCTTATCAATATATAATTCATGTAACATAAAATTCACCACTTCAAAGTATAGCATTCTGTGGTTTTTAGTATATTCACTATGTTGTACAACCATCACCACTATGTACTTTCACAACATTTCCTTCACTTGTGCCTGTTAGCAGTTAATCTCGATTTTTCCCTCTTTCCAGCCCTGGCAACCACGAATTTACTGTCTGGAAATTTCATATAAATGGAATCATAACATATGTGGCCTTTCCTGCTTGGCTTCTTTCACTCAGAACACGTTCAAGGTTCATCCCTGCTGTAGCGTGTAACGGTACTGCACTCCTTCTAGGACTGAATATTTGGTTGTACAGATACCCCATGGTTTATTTATCCATTTAACAACTGATGGACATCTGGGTTGTTTTCCATTTTTGACCATTAGGAACAATGTTGCTATCAACATTCACTTAGGAGCTCTTGTTTTAACATTTTTTCAATTCTTTCAGGTATTTATCTAGGAGTGAAGCTTCTGGGTCATATGGGAATTCTATGCTTCGCTTTTTTTGAGAGACAGAAAGCACAAATATGAATATTGGGGGAGAGGGAGAGAAAAGGATCCCAAACTGGCTCCACGCCCAGCAGGGAGCCCAACATGGGCTTGATCCCACGACCCTGAGATCACGGCCGGGCCCGAGCTGAAATCAAGAGGACACCTGACTGACGGAGCCACCCAGGTGCCCCTATGCTTCACTTTTTGAGGAACTGCCAAACTGTTCTCCACAGTGATCTACCATTTTACATTCTCACCAGCAATGCACAAGCGTTCCAATTTCTCAACATCTTTGCCCAAACTCGTTATTGTTTTTTAATAAATTTTTTTTAAAGATTTATTTGAGAGAGTGAGAATGAGAGAAAGAGAGAGTACATGAGAGGGGGGGAGGGTCAGAGGGAGAAGCAGGCTCCTTTGCTGAGCGGGGAGCCCGACGTGGGACTCAATCCCGGGACTCCGGGATCATGACCCGAGCCGAAGGCAGTCACCCAACCGAGCCACGCAGCCGCCCTACTGTTTTTTTATGAGTCATTTAGATGGGTGACATGGGGTCTCACTGTGGTTTTGATCTGCAACTCCCTAATGACAAATGATGTGGAACATCTTTTCGTGTGCTTGTGGACCATTTGTTTACAACCTATTTTTGAGAAATGCTATTCGAATCCTTTGCCCATTAAAAAAATTAGATTTAACTTTTTATTTTTCACAGTTGTGTGAGTTCTTTATATAATTCAGATACATGATTTGCAAGTACAGATTTCCCTTGACTTAGGATGGGGTTACATCCCAATAAACCCATCCTAAGTTAAAAATATCCCAAGATGAAAATGTAATTTACTACACTTAACCTACCAAACACTGTAGCTTAGGCTGGCCTACCTCGGACATTAGCTTACAGTTGGGCAAAGTCGTCTAACACAAAGCTTACTTTATAATAAAGCATTGGCTCTCTCACGTAATTTACTGACTTCTGCTCTAGGATAGGTACAGGACGGTTGTCAGTGGCCGCGGGATTGCCTGTGAGCTGCACCCACTGCTGCCCAGCATGAGGGGATTGTGCTGCACGTCACCAGCTGGGGAAGAGATCCAGATTCAAAATTTGAAGTATAGCTTCTACTGAATGTGTACTGCCTTCCCACCATCATAAAGTTGGGAAATTCTAAGTCAAACCATGGTAAGTCAGGAACTGTCCATATATTATCCCATTCTGGGGGCTGTCTTCTCCCTTTTTAAATGGTGTACTTTGACACACAAAGGTTTCTAAATTTTTAATTATGAAGCCCAATATTTTTACTTTGGTAATTTGTGCTTGGGTGTCATGCTGAAAAACTGTCGTCTAATCTGAGGTCTCACAGATTTATACCTTTGTTTCAAGTTTTATAATTTATTCGCTTAGATTCAGTGCTCTAATCCCCTTTAAATTCATTATACTGTATGGTGTGAGACAAGAGTCAAAATTCATTCTCATAGCGCCTGGGCGGCTTAGCGGTTAAACTTCGGACTCTTGATTCGGCTCAGGTCATGATCTCAGGGTAGTGAGAAGGGAGCCCCGTGTCTGGTTCTGTGCTGGGCGTGGAGCCTGCTTAAGATTCTCCTTCTCCCTCTCCCTCTGCCCCTCCCTCCCACTTGCGCATTAAAAAAAAAAAAATACATTCTCTTGCATGTGGATATCTAGTTGGCCCAGCACCATTTATAAAAAGGCTATTATTTCCCCACTGAATGACCTTGGCATCCCTGTTGAAGAGCAACTGGTCATAAATGAATGGGTTCATTTCTGAACTCCCAATTCTATTTTACTGGTTTCTATGTCTATCCTTAGGACAGTACCAGTTCTGATAACCAGCTCTGCAGTAAGTCTGGAAATATCAAAGTGTGAACCTTCCAACATTTAGTGTTCTTTTTCAAGGTATTTCCACGTGAATTTTAGGTTAAGCTTGTCCGTTCCTGTCAAACAGGCAGCTGGATTCTGCCAGAGACAACACTGAAATTTGTAGATCAATCACTCTGGGGAGTGCCGCCCCCTTAACAGCACGAAGTCTTCCAATCCACGGACACAGACTATCTTTCCATTTATCTTGGTACTCTTTAACTTCCTTCAACAACGTTTTGTACTTCTTTGATGTGTAAGTTTTACATGTCGTTACTACATTCGTTCCTAAGTATTTTGTTCTTTTTGATGCCGTTATAAACAATTATTTTTTAAATTTCCTTTTCAGATTGCTAATTGCTATTGTATACAAATACAACTAATTTCTGCATACTGATCTTGCATCCTACAAGTTGGCTGAACTCTTTAGAATGAATGGTTTATGTGGTTTTTGATATATAAGGTCCTGCCAACTATGAAAAAGGATAGTTTTACTTCTTTTATAATATGGATGCCTTTAATTTCTTTTCTTGCTCAATAATCCTGCTCAGAACCTCTAATAGTGGTGAGGGCAGGCGTCCTTCCTGATCCTGGGGGGACAGCACTCAGTCTCACCATCAAGTATGATGTTAGCTGTGGGTTTTTCATAGATGCCTTTTATTAGGTTGAGGAAATTCCTTTCTATTCCTAGTCTGTTGAATGTTTTTATCATGAAAGGGTGTTGGATTTAGTCAAATGCTCTTTCTATATCTACTCAGATGATATGTGGGCTTTCTCCCATTATTCTATTAATATGTTGTGTCACACTGATTTTTGTATGTTGAACCAACCTTGCATTCCTGAGATAATCCCATTATGGTCTTGGTGTATAATCCTTTTAATATGCTGCTGAATTCAGTTCCCCTTATTTTGTTGAGGATTTTTACATCCATATTCATAAGGGATACTGGCCTGTAGTTTCTCTCTTCTTGTGATGTCTTTCCGTGGCTCTGGTAAGGTAATTTTGGCCTCATAAAAGGAGTTAGAAAGTCTTCCCTCCTCTTCTATGTTTTGGAAGAGTTTGAGAAGGATTGGTATTAATTCTGATCTTAATGTTTGATAGAATTCACCAGTGAAGCCTGGTCCTGGGTTTTCCTTTGTTGGAAAGTGTTTGATTACTAACTCCATCTCTTTACTTTTTACAGGTCTGTTCAATTTTTCTTATTTTTTTCTAGAGCCAATTTGGTAGCTTGTGTGTTCCTAGGTTAAGAAATTTTTGAATTAATGGATTTCCAATAATTAATCTTTAATTTTATTGTTGAGGTAAGAAAGAAACAAAACATGATCTTCACCCTGTACATAAAGGCATGAAAAGGATTAAATACTTTATTCTAAGTGAAAGTGTTACTTCGTGAATCTTACTAGAAGGAGAATTCAGATTAACGAGTCATAGACGTAAAGGAAGAGGCCTGGAGGGTTTCTCAGTGGGTTCCACTGCCAATGGTGGTGAGGACATCTCGACCAGCAGGAGGTACTCTGTCTATGGCTGGTCTGCGGGGCCGGGAGTGTGAGCGTTCCCTACCCAGCATGACTGAAGCCTTGAGTCTCCTCCTGCTATACTACCACGGCCTAAGACCATTTCCTAGAGTTAGGTTTCCTTTTATCCCCTCTTTCTTCTTTTTAATTCAAAAGAAAAACTGGAAGTATCTGTAAAAATATAGATGCCTCACCCTTTTTTATCAAATTCTTTGTCCAAATCCTTCTGAATCATCGTCTTCTGAGCCTTGTAATGGGTTATTATGCCAATGTTCCGGAAAGTAACATCCCTTCTTTTGTCTTTAATAAGTTTAATTATTTCCATTACCAGTTTTATTTCTTGAACATTTACATATGAGCTAAATAAGATGAAAAACAAAACAAAACAAAACACATCAAAACTAATAGCAGTCCAACTGCTAGCTTCAGTCCTACTTTGTTTTCCGTTACAGTGAAGGGCAGGCAGGTATGTTTCACCTTTATTCAGTCATCAGCGGCTCAAAGAAGCTGTTATAATGACCATTACTATAGCATACTTGAAGACCTATAACCACCCAGTGAAACAGGAAGTTGTAAGAAAGAAAAGACTCTGAAGTCAACTGAAGTTTACTCACTGATATCTTCATTTGTTGTAACAGGGATAGCACAGTCAGAACAAAAGTATTCATAATAACGAAGATATGAATAATAAATAGCGAACACGAAGAATTTGCTATCTTCCACACACTGAAAAAAGTGCTTTATCATATTATCTTTAATTCCCCACGCTGGCTGTGCACCACACGGCGAGGGGATGCCATCCACACAGACTAAATGTGACGCAGCCCCAGAGGTGAACAACATGGAATCCTGCAGCAAGCTTGCATCCTCACTGGCCTCTTCCTGCACTCCCAACTCACCTCCGAAACTACACGCACCCCTTCATTACTGTTCTAGGAGCAACATGCACTGCACCTGAGGCCACTTTAGTGGTCTCACTTTAAGGGCCTTTAATACCCACAATCTTAACTTCGGACTCACTCTACAGAAAACCCCATTAGCCAGCTATCTCTTCCATCACTGAAGTCTAATTTACTTTCCTTGGTCACCTCTCAGGTCAACACTCTTCTGTGACCTTCACCCCCACAATGCTTATGGCCAACTGCCTCTGTATCCCTAACTTCTTCACTCAGTGTCCTGTCCCACCTCAGTAGCTCAACTAATATCTAATCCTTACTGAGGACGCCACCTGCTCTACAGCGCTCTCAGGGACACAGAGGTGGTATCTGTAATCTCCCCGTACTCCATGCTAGGACCTGTGCTAACAAACACAGCCTCCAGACCATTACCCCTCTATTTTCTCACAAGACGCCCTAACTCCTTTGAAGTTTCTCCTACTTAGCAGTCACCACCCTTTTTCATCCTTCAGAGACCACGTGAATACATTCCCTTATACACAATCCCAGTCATCAGGTACTGTCCACCCTCTGTCTCCCACCTTAATTCAAATGGATCTATACTGATCCTCAAACCGCTTAACCCAGCTGGAATAAGTAATTACCTTGGCCATCACCCAGTTGTGTCTATCTCTCCTCTCAGATCACAAGAGCCATGCACTGGGGCCATGTCTGTCTTACGACAGCTGTGATCTTATTAGCATATATTTACTCAAGTGCTTACCATGCTAGGGATTACCAGCCCCATTACACAATTAAGAACCAAAAGGCCGAAATGTATAGAGAAAGATATTAGTAATTTATGATAATAAAGGAAAAGCTAGTAGCCTAGCTCCAGAAGAATGCCTGTGCCCTGGCACTAGGCAAAGAGATGTATGGAAAATGTTTTCCATGTAAATATGAACAAAAATAACAACTCTGGGACCATCCCTGGGGATTGAAGAGAGGAGAACATACTCATTATCCCGTCTTTCTGAACCGTCTCCGACATCAAACACCAGGTAAGGTTGAAATGGCCAGTCTGATGAACACCGATTGGTTTCAGTCTGTCTACAAAAAAGCAACCACCATTCAGAATACAAGTTATAAGAAAATATTTTTATTACTATTTTTTTGTTAGGGAGGGAGCTAAAGATAAGAAATACCTTATTTTATCAAAATGTGTTAGAGTGAAAGGTAAAAAACAGATTTTATTTCTCTTCTAGGCTACGGAGAGTGATCTATGCAATTAAAGATAACTGCAACTGAAAAGTCACTCCTAATATAGTAAGTGAAAAAAGCAAGCCAGAGAATACAGACAGTCCCCGACTCTGGATGGTTCAACTTAAAATTTTTTGACTTAACTCTGGTGCAAAAGCAATACATTTCGGTGGAAACTGTACTTGGAATTTTGAATTTGGATCTTGTCCAGGGCGAGCAACACGCAGTGCAATCCTCTCACGAGACGCTGGGCAGCAGTGAGGAGCTACTCCCAGTGAGCCCCGCAGTCACGAGGGTAACCAACTTCTACACTGACAACCATTCTGTTTGTAACTATCAGTATAGTATCTGATAAATTACACGAGATATCTAACACTTTATTATAAAATAGGCTTTATGTTAGATGATTTTTGCCTAACTGTAGGCTAATGTAAGTGTTCTGAGTATGTTTAAGTAGGCCAGGCTAAGCCATGGTTTGGTAGGTAGGTTTGATTTATGATACGTTTATTGGGATGTAACTTCATTGTAAGTCTAAGAAGATCTGTACTATGCCGAGTATGGTGTGAGTCTTTTTTTCAAAAATTTAAGAAGTAAAAAAGTAAAAAAAGATATGCATAGTACAAAGACTATTTCTAAATAGATATACCAAGATGTTACCAGTGATTATTTCTGGGTAGCATAAATAAGGGCAATCTTCCCCCCTTCTTTTTTATCTGTATTTGCTAAAATCAACATGGCTTTTGTAATTAGAAAAAATTATTAAACCTCTGATTTATGCTTTTTATGACAACTTAAGAACATAGTAAAATAGCTATTCTTCCTAAGCAGCTAAGCCCACAAAAAAAATAAGCTAATGTAAGCAATGAATGGGAACTCACCTATTTGTTTTCAAGCTTCTGTTATAAACATAGTTAGAGGGAAAGAGACATATGTCTGGGTGCATCCTGTACTGAACAGTAAGCTGTAAAATAGGCAGCCTGCCGATCATATTGTGCTCCACGTTGTCTTCCAGCAGCTTGTAGAAGCGCGCCATCATTGACTGGTCATAGCCATATTCCTGTGCTTTCTGGAAAGGGCGAGAACAACAATTTCCAAGCATTTCTTTATACTTTTCCCACTAATGTAAAAACAGCAACTGAGGGCACCTGGGTGGCTCAGTTGGTTAAGCGACTGCCTTCGGCTCAGGTCATGATCCTGGAGTCCCGGGATCGAGTCCCACATCGGGCTCCCTGCTCAGCAGGGAGTCTGCTTCTCCCTCTGACCCTCTTCCCTCTTGTGCTCTCTATCTCTCATTCTCTCTCTCTCAAATAAATAAATAAAATCTTTAAAAAAAAAAAATAAAAACAGCAACTGAGCTCTAATATGTAAGCAGCGTAAGATGACCAACAACCACAGATTCAGAGAAAGATGTTTCTGACTCCAGGCCTTGAAAAACCATGTAGCTTAACTATAAACGTTTATTTAGGAAACCCACATACTACTTATGACAAGGATGTGATCTGGGGCACCTGGCTGGCTCAGTCGGTAGAACATGTGACCCTTGATCTCAGGGTTGTGAGTTCAAGCCCCATGTTGGGCGTGGAGCCTACTTACTTAAAAAAAAAAGAAAAAAAAAGGAAAAGATGTGATCTTGTAATGGCTATAACTAAAGCTATTTTGATGCTAACAGAGGTCACCTGAAAGAATCAATAATAAAAGAAAGAACTGCAACACAAATTTTCACAATTATACCGAAGGTATTCTCTCACAGATGGAAATACTGGTTGTCATTGTACACAGGCCTTTTAAAGACCCATCTCATCCCTCCAACATACAGTGAGAGCACCTACAAGTTGGAGTGCTCAGACTGTTAGGGTGAATTAGATCAAGTGCCACAGAATTTGTATTCCAGTGGAGGAGAAAAGACAAGTGACAATAATTACTAAGCTGATTTCATAAACCTACTAATGAGTGAAGACCTGAAAAATTAGTGACCAAAAAGATAAATGAAGAGAGTAGTTTTTTTTAACGTTCTTGTAGCTGTGCCGTGGGATATACTTTTCAATGTCAACGTCATACAAATACTCAGAAGTACTGCGTCTTAAATCATCTGGAAGCAAATGTGCACTGAATGCACTAAGACAATGGGTATGGGATCTTCACACGTGATGCTGAAGACGTGTGTGCGAAGTTCGAAGAACCTATTTCACAAATTAGGAGAGTGGGGGGGAAAGGCATTACTCCCTGAATCATAGGTTATTTCTATATGTGATTTTAAATCAGTCTGTGTAACTAAATAAAATAGTAGTAGACATTCAACAATTTTATCTACATCCCCAGAAGTTGATCTATTCACAAGTTAGCCAAACCTATTTTGAAAAAGAAAAAGGTAACAACAGTTCCACTTGCAGAAAAAAACTGAGTCTACCCTACAGAATGACGTGGATTTCCACGTTCTGACATGGAAGGATATTCCTGATCTATTTACAGACTGGAAAAAAAGACAACTTGGCACAGAATGCTTCTGCCCCCTTTAACGCAAACACTATACACATACCACCACCACACACAAACCTTATAGCCACCTGACATACCGTATTAGAGACTTATTTACTGTTACCCACTATGTGCAAGCTCCAAAAGGGCAGGGACTTGTGTCTGTTTTCTTCACTGTTTTAACACCAGCACCTGGTGCTGTTAAAACAGTGCCTGAATTAGGCTGGCACTCAATGAATATTGATGGAAAGAAATGAATAAACGAACACACAAATGCCCAGCAAAATTTGTTAAAATACTCACTAAACTGTTCTCAGTAATTCTTCTTAGAAACAGGATAGAAAAGCATGTTGAGAAAATTAACTTTGTAATTATCTTCTAAATTTTTCTCAATAAGCCCATATTATTTCTGTAATAACAATAAGCCCAAGCAGACTTTTCTCATTTTTGCTGCTTTTATCAATCACCAAAGTAAGCAGTAAAGTTGGAGCCCATCAACAATCCCTTTTCACTACATGCTGAGTCCCTTCAAGAAGTTAAATCAGTAAATTTGCGAGATACCATGTTATTTAAAAGAAATGCAATACAGAGTCGATTCTTCATTATTCTCCATGAACAGAATCACCCGCAGCTTTTCCTACTGACACAGGTTTTCACTCAGAGATCTCGGGTGTGCTTCTAGGCTAACACCATAGTGGGATCATGCACGTGTGCTCAGATGTCAAAAAGCTGCACTATCATTTTCAATAAGTCCGAAGTCAAAACACAGTAATGACAACAAAAACCACTTGGCTTTCATTCCACAACTGAACAGAAATGCTCTGAAATGGTCTGTTCTCTGGGGTTATTTATGCAACCACTCCTCTTTACAAACAATCTTTGTATTAGTGAAATATACAACTATTATTAAATTCAAAGCCATGGTCTACACCTATTCAGATTACCCAAAACATCTACAAAAGTCCTGATTCTGGTGTGCATTTCTAGGAGCCCTCTGCGGTGCGGTAACAGCAGAGAGGGGCAGGCCACGTTCAAGGTGCTGGTTGGTCCTCCCCACAAGTGGGGCTCACAACCCCTTTTCTCTTCCTGACACTGCACTTTCAGAGGACGGGAGAGGCACAGCATATTTTTTTTTTTTTGTATTACAGGACACAGAATTCTAAAACTGGAAATGTACTCTTAACAGTATATTTAAAGTATTCTTGATAACGTTTTCAAATTTGCATACATTTAAATATAAATCAGGAGGTTAGGAAACTTAAAATTTTTCTTTTATTATTGTTTTGGTGTTTATGTTACTAAAATGGATTGGATACAGCCCTTAAAATAGCTGCGCACCGCCTTTCCCCAAGACAGAGCAGGCCACACATGGAACACGGTCATTCTCGTCTTCAGGTCTCGGGCACATGCCCTGCTCGGGTCACACATGCACATATGCACAATCGGAACAAAGGGACATTTTTACAGACTTTTACTCTTAAAATTCAAACGGTGGTTCTCTTTCCTTAGCCATTCCCTACTTTTCCTTCCAAATAAGAGATGATGATCCAAGAAAGACCCCCTCCAAACACAAGAACAAAAAAGGCCCTTCCACTTTAAAGCAATATGAACATGAAACTAACTTACCATAGAAATGACCGTGGGAGGGAGCTGTTTAGGATCTCCTACGAGGATGAGCTTGTTACAACGATGGATGAGTGGAGTAAGAGTCTCAACCTCACAAGACTGCCCGGCCTTGGGAAGAAAGTACAGAATGAGAAAGTGTTCTTAATCATCTTTGCTGTTTCTTTATCCATGTACACTTTATGTAGAGTTCATAAAAGTTCTAACATTCAGAAAAGTATCACACTTTCTCCTTCTGCACTGAGTATCAAAAATAAGGATTTTTGAGAAGTACTTATTGTGATGAACACCAGGTGATTAAAAAATAACTTAAAAAAATAAGAAAAATAAAATGAGAAAAAAAATAAGGGTTTTTGTTTTTTTTTTTTGGTTAGAAGATAAAACAACAGGACAAACACTCTAAACAATCAGTTAAAGAAGAACCACCACAGGTGCACTGTGTGGCTGGCACCAGTAGGGAACCATGACCACTTGGGGACAAGCCACAGGCTGGAAGGCGTGTAATGCCCCAGTCCTATGTTCTCTGTGCCTTCTGGGCACTCGACCATGGAAACTGCATGGCTGTGTGACCCCCTCTCCCTGCCACCCCCTTCCTTCCTTGTTCCCCGCAGGCCTCATCATCTGCAAGACTCAAGCTTCTCTTCAATGACATTTTCTTCAATTATTTCATCATTTCCATGGTTTCTGTTCTTTCATTTTGGTGAAACTGGATCTTGGATTGATCCTCTGTATCTCATTTTCCATGTCTTTTGTCTTCTGGCTCTACATTCTGGCAAACAGTAGGTACCCAACAAATGCTTGCTCAATGAATGAATTACGAATAAAGGATGTTAGCTGAAAATATTGTGGCTCAGAGCTGTCCAGAGTTATATTAAAACTGCTTCAAAAAGGAACCAGAGCTATTCCAAGCAGAAGTGAGATACTCCTTGGGAAGGATCTGTTGGGAACAGTCAGGCATCCTTAAGATTATAATCCCAATTCTGGGAAAGCCATTTTAACCGTGGGGGGCCGTCAGCAGCACATTTCAACTTAAGAGACTACACACACGTGACAGCAGGTAAAAACCAGCTACACAAGGACTCTGCTCTAACTCAGCAGCAGCACGGTTCCCTCAAGACTCGGCCCTCACAGTAACATCCAAGTCATACCGCCGACCACCTACTGACCTCATCGACAATGACACAACTGAAGGGGACACCCCCTTGCCCACGAAAAGCAGACTCAAGCAGTAAACCACCACTCGTGCTCAATGTGCAGCAGATGACATGAGACTCTAAGATGATGATGCTCTGTGTTTTTTGTGGGCGTCCTTGAACCTAAGACAACAAATAAAGATGAATCAGTATTTCACTGTATATAAATTGATTATGGTAGGCCTATTTTTACTTGTAAAACATCCACCATTTATTATGTGATAAAAATATTTGGTGAACACTGAGGGGGAACCTCAAATCTAGAAAACGGCAGAAACGTTTAAGATAATCAGAAACCACCAGAGAGAACACTGTGCACTGCAGTGCAGTCTAAGCTCAGAACAGGATTTAAGCACATTAGGAAAAATGTATTCAGGCTTGATTTGGTCAAAGCAAATTAGAATTCTTACAGCAGATGTACGTGGGCAGGTATCAGAATGTGTAGAGATAGTTGTGAAGCAATTATCTGAGTTAAACTAGGGTCAGAACTCAGCTTGAACACACATTTTCCCATCAGTTTTTAAGTATATAATGTTGTTCTTTCTTTTACAAAGGCTTGCACCAACAACGACAACGCCTGTGAAGACAAGAAGCATTCTGCTTGCATGGTAAGAAAGACCACCTCGGTCCATCTCTGCCACACGGATTGCGTGATGGCGCCAGACAGTGCACCTCCCATTTAGTGTTCAAGCCAATAAACCAGGGTTCTTATCAGAGATTTAGTGAGCCTCTTTCGGTTCCTAAACAGGGGGTCATCCCTGCGCATTTGTTCAACCCCAGACGTGGACTCCCAAGCATGTGTGGATGGTAGCAACTGTGGCCCTCCCAGGGACACACGTGAACGCACTATCACACACCCTTCCTCTCAGCCACCTACTGAGGAAAACTGCCAAGTACAATTAATTCAATGGCCCACAGAACAAGGTGATGAGCAGCAAAACCCACAGTATATGCAAAAACAGACTTCATCCTTAAATACAGGCTTCATCTTTAAGTTTGGGAAGTAATTTTGGGCTCAGTTTACAATTTTAACAGAAATCTTTCCACATAATTTTTTTATTTAAATGAACAAACAGCTAAATTGTTCAACTGTTATTTATTTAGCTACATCAAGAAGGCTAATACATTCAAGAGAAAAATCTCAGCTTAAAAATACTAATAACGTTACCAGTTGCTATAACCTGCTCTCCCTGACCCCCACTGGTTTATTAGGGCTGCAATCTGCTCATGAGGATATGTATCAGGCTCATTCTAGCTTTGATCAATCTAAATCTTGTTCATTTTTTTTTTTTTAAAGATTTTAAGTAAGCTCTATGCCCAACGTGGGGCTCAAACTCAACAACCCCAAGATCAAGAGTCACATGCTCCACCAACTGAGCCAGCCAGATGCCCCTTGATGATATTTTTATATCCAAAGAATACGGGGGAAGAAGTTACACACGCTATAGAAGGATTCTTATGATCAAAAACAAATAGGGTAAGTTTATGCTTTCAGTCAAGAATTGTAAAGACTTGTTTTTACTCTCTTTTGCCAAATCCCCAGCCACTGTCACACTATTTGAATCTAGACATCTGATTTTCCTTTTTTTTTCCCTTCTGTTTTTGGTGTCCCTGGGTGGGCACGAATTTTGTTTTCTTTTTAATAGGGAAAACACCTTCAAATCTACTTTCACTAACTATTCATCTGATGATAGTTATCATAATCGACTTTGCAGTGGCGGGGGTGTGGAGAGCACCTAACAACGGAGTCTAATACTTACCCAGACCTAGAAAAGGAGAAGATACTTTATAATCACCTCTTTCTAGAAATCTCAATGACAATAAGAATTATTAGGCTAAAACAAAAATAGCAAATGTATATGTAATTGCATCTTCTCTACTTTAACATTTAAAAAAGTTTTTCATAATAAATAAATTTTTAAATGCAATTGAAAAAGCCCATCAGTTGTGTGAAATAATTCATAATAGAAAGAGAGAAAAACCTGGAAAATGCTATAGGTGAACCACTTACCTCCTTAATTTTAGAAGCTAGTTCCTGCCTCTCTTTTGAAACTTTCGCAATTTTTTCATCTAATTCTTGCCTCTGGGAAAAGAAAGAATGCAATCATTAAAGTTAAACTGAGCCACTTTAAAATGCTTTCCAGCTGACTGCCTTGCCTTTCAGGTGACACTATAATCTTTCTCCCCAAGACTCACCATTCACCCAGTTCCTTCTCTCTTCCCCAGGAGTCCTGACACCAGGCTGTGCTGCGGCCATGCTACCCCCCGGTACTGCTGCCTTGTGCACACTGTCCGGCCAGGCAGCCTGTAGAGACCCTCCACGGACACCAGCCCTCCCGAGAACAAGGCCCCGGGGTAAGAGAGCAGCCATGGAGTCCCAGCAAATGGAAGCTCTGACAGGACTGCCCTCATGACCACAGTTCCCCGCCTCCAGCGCCTGTGTGCCTTATGCACACCCATGCAGCTTATCTAAGCCCTGCTCTTTTGGGCTGAGTTGCCCAATCTGGCCCTAGCCCAGGACCCCCAAAGCACCTCACCCACAGACCCTAACAAAGACGAGCGCCCAGGTCCTGCCTCTCGGTCTGCACTCTGCCTTGACCTCCCTGTGTGGCCCCTGGAGGCAGGACGTGTACTTCCTCCAAGATCTGTGCGTAATAAACATCTCTATTCAATTTCTCTATGGTCTGGCACCCTGAGCTTCACTTAAGCGTTAATCTGATAAATCCTTAACACTGTACGAGATTCCCTTCTGTCTAGTGTGTCCCATGTGTGCTATTTCTGTCTGCTGAGCAGTCCAACCCCTGGGGCTTATTCCTCCATTAATTTCTGGGTGGTTCAAACAGGTTATAATCACATCCCAGTCATTCCTCTAGCCACAGTGATGGGCATATAACATATGCCTGGTAAACTGGCTCACATTCCCTTAAAAACAGGGATTAGACCTGCTTGCACACCCAGGGACTAATCAGACTCCATGGAACTGACACATGGATAGCAGGGAAAGCAGCCCCTTCTTTCCCTATGGGTTTCCTTCCTTCCTGCCTTCCTCCCTTGCTTCATTTCTTTTTTTTTTTTTTTTAAAGATTTTATTATTTATTTGAGAGAGAGAGAATGCGAGATAGAGAGCACGAGAGGGAAGAGGGTCAGAGGGAGAAGCAGACTCCCTGCTGAGCAGGGAGCCCGATGCGGGACTCGATCCCGGGACTCCAGGATCATGACCTGAGCCGAAGGCACTCGCTTAACCAACTGAGCCACCCAGGCGCCCCCTTCCTTCATTTCTTAAAATTTATTTATTTGAGAGAGAGAGAAAGAGTGTGGGCAGTGGGGGGAGTGGAGGGGGAGGCAGAGGGAGAGGTAGAGAAGCAGACTCCCTGGTGAGCATGGAGCCCAACACAGGGCTTGATCTCACAACCCTGAGGATCATGACTTGAGCCAAAATCAAGAGTTGGATGCTTAACTGACTGAGCCACCTAGGCACCCCTCCCTTGGGTTTTCTAAGCTGGGGTGGTGGTACCCAGAGATGCTGGTACTTGTCTTCTCCAAGATGAGAAATGTCTGACACAGAAAAATCAAGGGATGGAGAAATGACATCTTGAGCCTCTGGATCCAGCTACACTGGAGTTAATCACTCCCAGAGTTCCTAGGTATCTAAGTCAGTGAATTCCCTTTCTGTCTAACTTGGGTTTAACTTGCAACTGAAAAATATCTAATAAATTCACTACAGCTTTAATACAAGACAGGCAACAGCAAACTACAGCCTGGGCCAAATTCAGCTCACCATCTGTTTTTATAAATAAAGTTTTATTGGAACACAGCCACATCCATTTGTTTATGTATTATCTATCACTACTTTTATGCTACAACAGCAGAGCTGAGTAGTTGTAACAGAGACCATATGGCCTGCAAAGTCTAAATTACTTACTACCTTTCCTTTTTGAAAGTTTTTTAATCCCTAATGTAAGGCATATCGCTTTTGTATACATCTTTATACACCAATTATGCTATTCCACAATAAAACAATGGTATCAAATACTCATCACTAGCTTCTGTACTTATCAGCTATTAAAAAATATTCATCAAGAAATGTTTAGATACCTGTATTTCCCTTCCACCTCGGCATAAAGCACGCTGGCGGGAAAGTTCATCAAGTTGATGATCTAGAAATTCCTTTCTTCTATGCATCTCCTGAACATGAGAAGGTAAGTCTTTTTCTTTAAAAAAAAAAAAAGAATGCTGTAAGTCTCACAAATATACACATATGCATATGCAATCAGAAGAAAAACTAGTTCTCAAAGCAAGGCTATTTCGAGTGTCTCCAAATTACCTTTAATGCCCAACACATTAGCTATCACATAAAAGGAAACAGAAGTAATGTTAGTATGTGCCTTAATTAGTACTTACTCATTCTGTGGTTAACTTGGCTGTCCAAACTGAATTTTAGGACCTCATTATTAATAGACTTTTCTGGACCGAGACGTACTAAATTTATATCTCCACAGTTTCCTGTTGATAAAAAAAATCATACTTAGCGATTAATAAAGACACTGCCAATCTCTGTATATAGTACCTATTTCTAAGCGAGCATATTAACAATCAAGGAAGGGAGCCAACATTAACTATCAATCAACTCCACACCTGAAACTACACTAAAGCCTTCATACACATTAGATATTCTTCACAACCACCCTGCAGGGTGAGTACTGACCATCTCTACCTAATAAAAGTGGTTGCATAAACAGGACATTACGAAGTTGAGATTCAATTATACCAACATTTCTCAAACTATGTTCTGTACAACATTCCATAGTAAAATACATTTGGGAAAGGTGAGTTGAAGTAAGATAGATTTCTTAACCACCGGATATATCAGATATGTAAAGACTTTCATATATTAATACATATTTGAATTTCCAAGACAGAATCATATTTTACTATCAAATCCTTTCGTGGAATATTCACAGCAAAGTTTTTGAAACTCTACTCCATATCACGCTGCTACTCCAGAATCCAAGGGACACAAGGTGCTGAAACTGTGGAGTAGATAAGTGCAAACAGTGTAAATGTCATTTAAGTGGCTAGCTATTAACCACACCTTTATTTCAGGTCACCGTATTTTATATATTACTTAATCTAAAAATCTCTCACTCCATCATTGGGCTAAATTATAGCAATCAGCACTTATCACAATCTGACCCATCACATACTTATTTGTTTATTGTCGATCTCCTTCCACTGGATAGGGTTTTGTTGTAGTCACTGGCTCCGATAGTGGCTGGCATGGAAGTACAATCAATGTATGCTGAATGAATGAATGACTTACTAAGCAGTTGTCTACAACGTATTTTGTTCCTAGTTCAGCTCATTTTTCTAAATTTGAAGTCATCTTCTCTGGCCAACATTTACTTAAAGGTTTCAAAACTGCTAACTTACTTGTGTTTCCACAAGAAAGGTGGATGAAATTACCTGGAAACTCATCCCCTATAAATACCTAGAAATGCTCCATAAATTAAAAGAGACTCCTTGGGCGCCTGAGTGGCTCAGTGGTTAAGCGTCTGCCTTCAGCCCAGGTCATGATCCCAGGGTCCTGGGATCGAGCCCCACATCAGGCTCCCTGTTCAGTCGGGAAGGCTGCTTCTCCCTCTCCCACTCCCCCTGCTTGTGTTCCCTCTCTCGCTGTCTCTGTCTCTGTCAAATAAATAAAAAAATAAATGAAACAGGGGCGCCTGGGTGGCTCAGTCATTAAGCGTCTGCCTTTGGCTCGGGTCATGATCCTGGGGTCCTGGGATCGCGCCCCGCATCGGGCTCCCTGCTCTGCAGGAAGCCTGCTTCTCCCTCTCCCACGCTCCCTGCTTGTGTTCCCTCTCTCGCTGTGTCTCTCTCTGTGAAATAAATAAAAATAAAATCTTTAAAAAATAAATAAATAAAAGCCCACTGGAAAGGAAGAGGGCCTGAAAGAGGTGGGAGGATGTAAAGGAAATGAATCTACTGCGCCTGGGCTTAGCTGGGAAAAACCAAAATCTCTTCCAGGACTTTCAAACCATAGGCTCAGAACACATGTGGATTTAGGGACTAAATATATAATTCAGGGAATGACAAAGGTGACCCAATCAAAATAGAGTTGAGAGTTTTAAAATGAGAATACAACGAGCAACTTTATGCCAATATATTTAAAAATTAAGAGGAAATGTTGATTTTTCTTGAAAAATATAAATTAGCCAAACTCACTAAAATACAGAAACCTGAATAGACCTATTAACAGCTAAGACATTCGGACAGATTAAAACTTACCCATCTGTCAATAAACAACACTAAAAACAAATTAATCTTTATGGAATAGATAATCTCTGTCATATATAAAACATTCCAAAGAATTAACAGAAAATTATCCCCAGTTACATTTTTAAAGTCAGTGTAATGATACCCAGACACAGATATGACAAAGAAAAATCACAGGCTGGCTTCATTCATGAGTACTAATGTTAAAATCCTAAATTAAACATTAGCAATCTAGCAACGTGTTAAAAAATAATAATAAATGACCAAGCTGGCCTTATTCTAGGAATCAAAGATATTTTAGTATTAGAAAAACACTGTACTTGGGCGCCTGGGTGGCTCAGTCGTTAAGCATCTGCCTTCGGCTCGAGTCATGATCCCAAGGTCCTGGGATCGAGTCCCACATCGGGCTCCCTGCTGGGCAGGAAGCCCGCTTCCCCTCTCCCACTCCCCCTGCTTGTGTTCCTGCTCTCGCTATCTCTCTGTCAAATAAATAAATAAAATCTTTAAAAAAAAAAAAAAGAAAAACATTGTACTTTACCCAACAGATTAAAGAAAAAAGTTTCATTATCATTTCAACAGCTGCAACAAGAAAAATGTATGCAATAAAATTCAACAGCCCTTCATGACAGAAATTAATGACAAAAGAACTTCTTTATCCTAAGGAGGGTAAACACTAAAACCCAGAAATCAACAGCATAGTTAACAGCAAGATGTCCAAGGCATTTCTCTAAGGACACCCAGGACAGCTGGAAGTAGTGGAAGAAGTGACAATGAATGCAGTATAAAAGACCAAAGTTCTCTTCTACGGCCAGATGATATCATTTTTTCTCTAACAAAATGGAAGATCCAACCTGGATGCCTGGCTGGCCCTGTCCTGATCCTGGCCCAGCTGCAAGGTCAGCACACGCCTCAGAGTGCTCACTTTCCCTCAGCCAGCCAAGGGAAAGGCACGTTAAAAACACACCACTGCGTATGCATTGGAGCTGCTCCTGGGCGTGTAAACTGCTAAACCCACGTCTGAGGACAATTTGGCACTATCTAGAAAACCGAAGATGCACAAATCCTTCAACCCAACATTTTCACTTCAAGGTCTACCTACGGTAGACCAGTGTTTTTATAAGCTCTTGACCTATCATATGAGGTACACTTGACCATCAAAACCCAATACAGAACTCACACACCTCCCCAAGGAAACGAACTCAGTCCCTACGTACCCTCATTGCCTGAATCTCACTGGAGAGAGCGCAGCAAACGGAACGCCCAAACCCTCCCTTGCCTTCGTGGGGCTTATTATATTCCAGCTATACTGCACGGAGGTTCTCTCGCCTCTGGTCCCTGTTATTGATAGTAACTTCTGCTAGAGTTCCCCATACCCCACCAATCCTTTCCCACGGCTAACTCCTAACTACTCTCCAGGTTTCATCTTAGACATCATTTCCCCCAGGAGCCTTCCTTAACGCTCCCACGACTGAACCAAGGGCCGCTCTAAGGTGTCCGAAAGTAGCCACATCTTACTGCTCTTACAGAATGTCCAGTTTTATACTCTAACTGCCCACTGATCCACTTCCTCATTATCGTCTCCTGGAAGGTTTCACTGTTGAAACCTCAGTACTTAGCACAGGGCCTTGGCACAGAGTAAATGCTCAGTAAAACTTGCTAAATGAACTGATGAGTACGTATGGGCCACAGCCCCAAGCAGAAGTTATTACCACAGCTGGCTTATTCTGTAGTATTCAAAGCTGCCTACACTAAACACGGAGAACAAAACCAAAAACAAATTAAAAGCCATATAAGTATCATACCCAAAGGATTCTTCTTGTCTTTACATTTTTCTTTAAATTCGAGGATGATTTTTTTCATAAGTTCATCAACAGCTGCGTTGGAAGGCGCACACACAAGGACACGGTTTTGTTTGATTTTGGCATTGGAGTTTTCATCTGAATGCCCCTTCCTCTGGTTCTACAATTTGACACACACACGCCAAACAAACAGACAAACAAAAAATACTGATGAGCTCTATTACAGAGTTTTCCAGTTTTTCTCTACTTCCATGTATGTTCGAAAGTTCCCCTTATAAATACTTAAAAATAAGTAACAGCACCTACATCTTACATTGACATAAAATGACTCTAGCAGGACATTTTATCATAGCTTCCCTGAGCCTCACCTCACTATCCAGTTATTTTACTCCGTACTCAAGCCAACCAAAATGTAGCCCAGGACCCAGACAGTTTCTTGGCATTAGACGTGACAAGACCACCATTCTAGCCCTTCAGCTTAGTGTCACACAGGACAGCATTTTCTGCTCTTTTTACTTTTTATATCCTTGTCTCCTTCTGCTACCTCTTTCTCAGATACAGTTCCACACAGTATCAAAAAGATACACAAAAGTGCAGGGAGAAAGACCTGTAGTAGTTATTTATGCATGTCAGTTGATTCATGTGGAACGATGTGCCCGGCTCACAGCACTGACGCCCTCACATACTCTACCTACCTCTGTCAGGAGGCGGTACAGGAGGCCAACAATAGTTTTTGATTTTCCTGTTCCAGGTGGTCCATGAATCAGACAGATCTTGGCAACTGACGGGGAGTGTTTGACCATGGCATATGCAGTTTCTATCGCTTTCTTTTGGTCTTCGTTGAAATCTCTTAAGTAGGCGATCTATGCAAAAGACATTAGTGAGAATGAGTTGCTCTTCCTGGAGTGGCACAGGAGAGGAAGAAGAGAAAACCATTTGAATTTCTTCTAACCTTTATCAGACAGAAGCTTTGGGGTTATGATCAGGCAAGACTCCAACATGACCTTTAATCTACAGAACCAATTTCACTACTATGAAGTTATTTATGAGTGTCTGTAGGCTTCAGCCCACCTACAACTACTACAACTGCATTTTTATTTGTGATTCTTACAAAGAAGATCACAATAAATTGTTCAATACTTTTCTTCTATTTATTCTTTCCATAGACAGTGCAAAAACGTTCCAAGATTTTCTTTCCTAACATTCCAGATTTTGGATCAGAACTAAGTTTAAATCTCAGCTTCACTCACAAGCTAGGTCTCTAAACTCCTAACCTCTCTGAGCCTATGCCTTTATCATCCATTAAATCTGGGATTCCTGAGCAGATGAGAAGTGAAGGAGATACTGCACAGAAAGCCCCCCCCCACAGCAGCGGTCCAAACACTGTTACTTTTCTCTTGCCTTCCTCAGTACTAATCTCCTGGAATGAATATACATAGCTCTTACAGCAAGAACATACATGCTCATGCAAAATGGCAACTTTACCTGTCAATTTTCCATCGATCTTTCAAATGCAAAATTAACTCTATTAACCTACTCCTACCTCTGAATTTTAATCACCTAACAAGCATTTAAGTAGGATGCTCATCTAACATTTTAATGCTCCTCTTTAAGCATATTTTCAATTCTTCATCGCACTACGCTTTTTCCCTGAGGTAAGCTGAGTAACATAACGAAGCGCCACACACCCTCACTGTGCACACACAGGGATACAGCTTTGTCCCAGACATATAGGAATGTGCAACGAATAAACACGACATGATGCTGTCACATCCTGACATGAAATTTTCAGTCTTTTCATTCTCGTTTAACCATGACTCACAATTCTCTCAGATGTTGTAGTTAGTAAATCTTTTGTACAGAAGTCCATGGGGTTTGGATTCAGAACAGCTCTGGCCAGTTGGTTCCGTCCACTCAACAAAGACATGGCTTTCAACTTCCTTTGTGTAGTTACCAGAGAACTGATTACAACGCATTTCACGAGTTCATTTAAATTGACTGGCAAATTATCTTGAGTCTGGATGGAAAGGGAACACTCAGATTTCCCACTGCGCACTATTATCAAGAAGGAGAAAAAGCAATTTCAGTTGCCAGGGAATAATGCTGTCCAGCTAAAAACGTTATTCAGAATTATGTATTTTATAACTTATGTTTTTTGTATGATATTGTTCAAGTAATTCAAAGATTTACTGAATGCTTCCTAAGAACCAGGCAATTCTTTTCAAGAAAAGGGAAGCAGATAACCAAATAAACATGTCAGATGGTGCTGAGCACCATGAAGCCAAGCAGAGAAAGGGGATGAAGAAGTCATGAGGGATGGGAGGGCGCTGTTACCGTCATAGGCAAGTCAGGGAAGGTCTTCCTGATAAGATGGTATCTTAGTAGAAACTTGAAATAAATGAGTAGGCCACGCCCTTATCTGGGGAAAGGGTGTTACCGGCAAAGAATCAACAATTGCAAGACCATGAAGCAAAGATGTGACTGGAGTATTTCAGGAACAGGGACAAGCCTAGTATGGCTGGAAGGAAAAGTAGGGAGACAAGTGCTGCAAAGACTCAAAGAAGAAAACGGGGCTCCATTTTATAGGGCTCTGCAGACCACGATACTGACTTTGAACCTTATTCCAAGTCAGGTAGAAAGCCACAGGGCAGCTTTGTACTGGGAAGTGACATCCTTGAACTTAGACATTAAAAGAATCGCTCTTCCTGCAGATGGAGAATAAACAGCAATGGGAAAAGCACAGAAGCAAACAGGCCACCAGGAAGCCACTGCAGCTGATGGTTGTGTGGACCAGGATGTGGTAAGCAGACATGGGGCTTCGATTCTGGACACTTTGCAAAGGAGTCAACAGGATTTGCTGATGAATTACATGTAGGATGTGAGACAAAGAAAGGATCAAGGATGACTGGGGTTTTGGGCCTGAGCAACTAGAAAAAGGCAGGCCCCACTTGCTGAGATGGGAAAAACAGAAGGAATAGTAGAGGTTAGGCAGAAAAATCAAGCGCTTCCTTTGGTCTTTTTGTCTAAAAGATTTGCAAATGGGATGTCAGATAGTTGGATGCTTGAGGAGCTGGAAGAATACCTTAGAAATATAAATTTGGCGCATGTCATCATTTGCAAGAGTCAAGAGCACAGATTAAGCTATGTACCCCTCCTGCTACTCCCCTAAATGCACTCTACAGGAAGAACTGGGCTGGACCACACTTATAGAAATACAGCACACCAGTTTCAGTGTACCATGATGCTAAACTCCAAGGAGCTTTGTTTTTAAGACTGGATGCAAAAACGAAGGAATAATGAACTCATGTTCTTGTCACACAGCTGAGGCTAAGAAAGCAGCAATGTTAAAAAGGCTGCTCAGCATACAATGAAGAATGTGGGCAACCCTGCAGTCAAACAAATGTAGGTTTCAATTCTGGGCCTACCACTTAATACTGAGAATGACCTTGGGATGAGTACTGAATATCCCTGAGCCTTAATTTCCTGATGAGCAGGGAATATATAAATCTTACTGCTTTGCAAGGCTTTGAGGAAGACGATAAATGAGCACAGGAAGGACAAGGCACATGGCCTGGCACACAGCAGGTACTTGTTATATCCAAGCTGACACTACTTCTGCGATGCTACTCCCAGGAGATGGGTCCCTACAACACAAGGGATGGGAGCAATGGAAACAGCAGAACCTTCAAGTTGCCTCACAATGACTTATATGTTTGGTCTTCTCCTTGATACTTAGCCGCAACACCAAGGTTGTGATTTTAAGATACAAAAAAGATAGTTTGCAAATTGTCTGTTTAATAACAAACACAATGACAGATGAAGGAATGTATCAGAAAGAGAGGACATTACAAAAGAAAGCTTTTAAATCATAAATGTAGAGAAGTACTGGCCTTTCCCAGATGAGTCTAGAAAAATTAAAAAAGGACTCTGGATGGCAAGTAACCAACCTGGCAAATACACGTCTCAAATATGTTTAACAAGTATATGGCCGGTAAAGCACAACTCAGAGGGAAATTAAAAGATAAGCTTATATCTGACAGATTTCTCTTTACAGTCTATCTACTTACTGACTGAAGTGCGGCGAAACTTATGAATATAACCACAATGATATTCACGGAGATCTTGCATGCGATTTCTCTCTGTATCTTTCTTCTCTCCATTTTGTCTTTCAGGAACCAAAAACACCAAATCATTTTCCTTTGGATGAACCTGTTTAGCTAGTTCACATTCCTCAAGATGAACTATGAAACAATAAGAAGTTGGCATTGATTCTAACAGAATTATTTTAAATGAGATTAACTTCAAGGATATTAACCCTTGTACTAAGTTCAAGCAAGTACACAGCACTAGACTTTGTAATATACTTCAAAATAATATTCTAAGACAGTCAACATTCTCAAATATGGATTATACAATATTATAAAATGTATTCTAAAATAATATTCAAAAGCAGCTAGTAAATTTCCTTTCCTTAAAATTTATTTTAGTTTTTAACCAAAAAATTTTCTCTTTTGTTTCTCAGTTTCAAAATCCCAGGAGAAAACCCCAAAACAGATCCAAGGACATATAAGAATTTTGAGCCTACTGGTGGCATTTCAAACAAGGGGGAAAGACTAGTTGTAAACTACTGGGGCTGGGAAAACAGAGCAAGCACTACAACAAAAAAGTTGACCACCGACCACCAGATCCAGTAACAATATAGTGAACTAAAATACGAGGCACTGGGGGGGCACCTGGGTGGCTCAGTCGTTAAGTGTCTGCCTTCGGCTCAGGTCATGATCTCAGGGTCCTCGGATCGAGCCCCGCATCGGGCTCCCCGCTCGGCGGGAAGCCTGCCTCTCCCTCTCCCACTCCCCCTGCTTGTGTTCCCTCTCTCGCTGTGTCTCTGTCAAATAAATAAATAAAATCTTTAAAAAATAAACAAATAAAATAAAATAAAATAAAATAAAATAAAATAAAATAAAATACGAGGCACTGGGATTAGATAGACAGAACCACTAAATCCAAACAAGATTTTAAAATGTGAGCAGGTTAGGAGTGCCTGGGTGGCTCAGTCAGTTAAGCTTCTGACTTCCGCTCAGGTCATGATCGGGGTCCTGGGATCAAGCCCCGCACCAGGCTCCCTTGCTCAGTGTGGAGTCTGCTTCTCCCTCTCTCTGCCCCTCCCCGCTGTTTAAGCAAGTGCGCACGCTCTCTCAAAATAAATAAAATCTTTTTAAAAAAATAAATAAAATGTGGCAGGTAAGAAATATCTATGTGAAGGTATCCGAGAGCAATTATAACAGTGAAGAGTTACTGTATTGAGATCCAGAAGAATGTGGAAATCCACTGGAGTCAGCCCAGTATTTCCCTTAGAAACATCTCAACTACGTTTGGAGTGGCAGCCAAGAGGCCAGGCCAGACCTGGGATGGCCTTAATGGACTAAAAAGACAAAAACTGGAGTCCAGGGCCTGTACAGAGTGGGGACCCTGGTAGCCCTATATGCTTCAGGTTGGGACTACCAAGGACTCAGAACTACACCCAAGGATGAAGCAAAAGCAAACCCGCCTTGACGTGGGCTACAGCCCAGCTTCCAAACAGCTGGGTGCTCCAGAAAAGCCAATCCCTTAAACCAGATTATAAGATGATCCCACATCGCAGGTGCCCCCAAGATGCCTGGCAGAAGCAAAGGAAAATCCTCTGTGGAGGAAGATAGTATCATCCAAGGCCTCAAATTATTTTTATAAATAACTTTGCAAAGATAATGACCAACACACACCAGGGATAAGCAAGGCACAAGGAGAGAAGAAAAACACAAAGCAGTATCATCAGTGAACAACCAAGGACTGTCACTAGGGGCTACAGATTATGTCTCACACAGTTTAAAAGGTTTTACCTCATCTATGGAAACACTTAAAAGAGCTACTAAAACTATAGATTTTGATAAATCAAGGGTGCATGGTTTGTTTTAACCTAACTGTTCTAAAATAGCAAAAGATGTATACATTGAGAATTTCCAAACAAGAAAAAGTAAAAAGAAATTTTAAAATGAGAAAAAAAGTAAAAGTATTCAACCAAAACAAAAGGTAAAACATGTAATATATAATTAGGTTCATTTACTTCTGTTGTGTTTCACTTTATGGTATGCTTTTTAAAATTCACCTTTGGTAATTTAATAGTTCAAAGTCTCATATATGTGTAAAAAGTATACTCTAGTTCTACCAGGTTTTTTTTTAAAGATTTTATTTATTTGAGAGAGAGAGAGAGCCAGAGAGCACAGGCAGGGGAAACAGTAGAGGGAGTGGGAGAAGCAGGCTCCCTGCTAAACCAAGAGCCCAACGAGGGGCTCAATCCCATGATCTGAGCCGAAGGCAGATGCTTAACTGACTGAGCCACCCAGGCGCCCCTCAGTTTTTTCTTTATATATTTTATTAGGTATATATACATTGAGAATTGTCATCTCTTCTGAACTAAACTTATTATGAAAAATTCCCTTTGTATGTAAGTTTTTTTTTGTCTTACAGTCTATTTAGTCTGATATTAACAGAGCTAAACATGTCCTTTTTTTTTTTTGTAAGATTTGAGAGAGAGACAGAGAGAGAGAAAGCGCGTGCACATGTGTGTGAGGGGCTACCCGCTGAGCGCAGAACCCGACATAGGGCTTGACCCTGCAACCCTGACGTCACAACCTGAGCCGACATCAAGAGTAGGATGCTCAACTGACTGAGCCACCCAGGCGCCCCTAAACACATCTTCTTTTAGTAAGGTTTGTGTGAGTGTCTTTCTCCAATCCTCTATTTTTTCAACCTTTCTGTATTCTTACGCTTACATGTATTACTTGTTCATACATACAGTGTAGTATATTATAATCATACTGTTCTTGAAATAACCATTTTCTTCTACAGGATGCTAAGCTTACTTAGAAAATTGCAAGTTTGGATCCGGGATAAAAGAATATAGATGATATTGGTCATATGAGATAGCAAGTCAGCTCTCAAAGACTTGTAGGGTCCTATCTAAAGGGCTTAAATGATAATGGTTAGAAACACAAGTATATGTAAGTCTACGCATTTATGAAATTTAAAAAAAAAAGCACATTGGTCAACACCAGTGCCTGCAGTGAATTAGCTCATTATTTTATTTTAAGATTTTATTTATTTATTTGACAGAGAGAGACACAGCGAGAGAGGAAACACAAGCAGGGGGAGCAGGAGAGGGAGAAGCAGGCTTCCCGCGCAGCAGGGAGCCCAACGCGGGGCTCGATCCCAGGACGACCTGAGCCGAAGGCAGACGCTTAACGACTGAGCCACCCAGGCGCCCCTAGCTCATTATTTTAAAAACTGGTCAAGAGTAAAATACTTTTCTACATTTCTTTATAAAGCACACCAGAGAGTAACCAAATAATATAGAGAAATTTCTTTATAGAACTATTCCAGCTAATAAATGATCAAGTAAAGATATCACCATTTTGTACCTTTAATAAATTAATCTAGGCATTAAGCATCCACAGCTGTAAATATTACTAAAAGAGAAATTAGAGATCATGCACTTCCTGATAAAGGAACATAACCATCTATGAAATAGTTTTGCCAAAAATAATAAATCAAACTTGAATCGGATCATGCCTCTAGATACAGCTATCAATTTACAGGAAATACAGAGGACAGAAAAACATACCAACAAACACCAGGGGGACACAATCAACAAGTACAGACAATAATTCTAAAGGATCAACAACTCAACTTTTTCAACAAATTACAAAGGGGAAAAAAAAACAGAATGAGAAAATTATAGTTAAAAAAAAAACCTTTCAACTAGTGTCAATGTGTGGACCTAATTTGGACCTTATTTCAAAGTTGCTGAAAAAAACTGTTATTTATGATGAAATTGAAAATCTGAACAATGACTAGCTATCTGATATTAAGGAATAACTGTTAATATTTTAGCAATAAAATGTAATCTTATTATAAAATTTTGGTCTGTATCTTTTAGAGGTATTCACTGAATTACAAATGACGCCCAACCCCTGCAAAGATCAAACCAAAGATGATGTGCAAAACCTCTCCATCAAAAACTCTAAAACATTACTGAAAATAAACCAAAATAACTGGATGTATTTCTTATTCATGAATTAGAAAATTATCAGAAAGAGGTCAATTCTCAAAAAAAAAGATGTCAATTCTTGCCCAATTTCCCCATTTTTTTCCTCTAAAATTTATATGGGAACTCAAGCAGACAAGAATAGCCAAGGCACTCTTAAGGCAAAAAAGGTAGGAGGAACTGTTCAGTGGTTATTAAAACTCGTTATAAAGCTGGACTAAGGAATGAGGCAATGTGATGTGGGCACAAGGGTAGGCAAATGATCCAATAAAGAAATGAGTCCAGAAAAAAAATCCATGAGTTAAATGGACACTAGATTTATGGCAAATATAGCACTGCACAGCATGAAGAGGGTGGTCTTTTCAATAAATGATATTGGGATAACCGCAATTCCATTTGGAAAAAAAAAATGAAACATGACCCCTACACATCCCATTCATGCATAAAAATAAATTCCGGGTTGACAAAACAATGAACTGTCTAGAAAACGGGCTACACGGGGCGCCTGGGTGGCTCAGTTGGTTAAGCGACTGCCTTCGGCTCAGGTCATGATCCTGGAGTCCCGGGATCGAGTCCCACATCGGGCTTCCTGCTCAGCAGGGAGTCTGCTTCTCCATCTGACCCTCCCTTCCCTCTCGTGCTTTCTATATCTCTCATTCTCTCTCTCTCTCAAATAAATAAATAAAATCTTTAAAAAAAAAAAAAAGAAAACGGGCTACAAACTTTTTCTGTGAAGAGCCAAACTTTTTTTCTGCAAGCCACACAAAGGGTCTGTTGTATATTCATCAGCTTTTTTTCAAAGTTCTTTGGGGCACCTGGGTGGCTCAGTCGGTTAAAGCATCTGCCTCCAGCTCAGGTCATGGTCCCACGGTCCTGGGATACAGCCCCACATCGGGCTCCCTGCTCAGTGGGGAGCCTGCTTCTCCCTCTGCCCCAGCCCCCCCACCTCATGCTCAGGTGCGCTCCCCTCTCTTTCTCACAAAAATAAATTTTAAAAATCTTAAAAAAAAAAAAAGACCAAAATCAGAACCATAAAGAAATAAGTATAATAGTTTTAAACATGTGTAGAAATTGTCTGTGCCTCAAAACCTGCATGTGAAACTGAGTAACAAACTGCCAAAAGCGTCTTCTTTTAAGACAGAAGAAAGAAAGAAGATTAAGAAGAAAACAATGTCCCTAATAGGAAAAGGGGCCTGGGTGGCTCAGTTGGATGAGCGATCAAGTCCTGATCCCAGGGTCATGGATGGAGCCCTGCAGAGAGGGGAGTCTGCTTCTCTCCCTCTTCCTCTCCCTCTGCCCCTCCCTCGCTCTTGTGCTCTCTCTCAAAATAAAATCTTAAAAAAAAAAAAAAAGGAAGAAGGAAGAGTGGGGGGCAAAGGGCATGAACCATTATCCCCATAGTCCCCTAAGAATATTCATGATCAAAAAAGATTTGGGAACAAAGCTACAACCTCAGATGAGATACACTTTACATACATAAAACCGGAAAACAAAGTTGAAGCTAGCAAATGAGGGAGATGTACATTCTTATATCTTCATGTTAGAAGTGAAACTGATACTCCTTTTGGTAGGCAGAGGCAATATGGAACAAGTCTTAAAATACACGTTTGACCTAGCAAAGTTTACACTCAGCGTTTGCAACAGTGAAAAACTATAAACAATGTACATGTCTAACTAGACACGACTGGTTAAGTCGATCTGTGGAATATATTTACAATGGAATAACTATAAATATTAAATATACTGTTATTGGGCGCCTGGGTGGCTCAGTTGGTTAAGCGACTGCCTTCGACTCGGGTCATGATCCTGGAGTCCTGGGATCGAGTCCCACATCGGACTCCCCGCTTGGCAGGGAGTCTGCTTCTCCATCTGACCCTCCCCCCTCTCATGCTCTGTCTCATTCTTTCTCAAATAAATGAAATCTTTAAAAAAAATAAAAAATAAATATACTGTTATTTAGTAACTCTGAAAAGACATTTACAGTATATTAAATAAAATTAAGTAAAATATAAATTTCATGCAGGCAGGAATCTTATGTTTTCTTCACAGCTATATACCTAGCATCTAGAATCATATCCGTAATTAGGCACTATAAAGTCAATATATGCTGAATGAATGAAAAATGTCATTAAATAGTTAAATGACCCTGGGGCGCCTGGGTGGCTCAGTTGGTTAAGCGACTGCCTTCGGCTCGGGTCATGATCCTGGAGTGCCGGGTTCGAGTCCCATGTCGGGCTCCCTGCTCAGCAGGGAGTCTGTTTCTCCCTCTGACCCTCTTCCCTCTCATGCTCTCTCTCATTCTCTCTCTCTCAAATAAATAAATAAAATCTTTAAAAAAAAAAAGTTAAATGACCCTACTACATTCACATATACACAATTCACACAGGTGAGTAGACAGTCTCATAGTAAGATATCTACTAGTATTTTCATAGGACTATCTTGGAATAATCGGAATTGGTGATATTTTTTTTCTGTTGGCTAATATTATTTCGGTGTCCTACAATGAACATATAATACCTTTCCCCAAAAATATACATACACATGCTTTTTATCTTAATTGAATCTATGGAGTAGGGTGGACAGGGGGTGAGGGCGGAGGCAAAAGAGGATTTATACTTTTTATTTTAAAGAGTTCTGAATGTTTGGTTGATTTATAACTAATGCATTAAGTGTGGTATGTGTTTCAGAACAATGATGAAATGAGAAGACAGACAGCAGGAAGATTTACTCAGAATCTATAAACACTATGATTTTCGGACACCCTCCCCCAACCAATCTTGTCAAGCTCCCTTCACTCACCCTCTCTTCCATGCCCAGCTTCCACTTCGTCCTGTGGTTTTCTAATTATAGAATGGTTACAACCATGAATTTTATATTCATAACTGTCCCAGTAATTGTTCTCATTAAAAGACTTTAAACATGGGGCGCCTGGGTGGCTCAGTTGTTAAGCGTCTGCCTTCGGCTCAGGTCATGATCCCAGGGTCGGGCTCCCTGCTCCGCGGGAAGCCTGCATCTCCCTCTCCCACTCCCCCTGCTTGTGTTCCCTCTCTGTCTCTCTCTCTCTCTGTCAAATAAATAAATAAATAAAATCTTAAAAAAAAAAAAAAAAGACTAAACATTCCTTGTAAGAGGTTACAAATTCAGCTTAGGAAACCTATGTCCCAAAAAATTCAAATGATGATAAGCTTTCCTCAAACAGAAATTTCCAATTATTATATATTCCAAATTACAGAAGAAAGAACTTACCCACAAACTCCCAGTATTTTTTATAATCAGCAGGAAATTTTCGTAAATGCAACTGATAGAATTTCTCTTTGTTTGGAGAGCTGATCCACTCCTGTGCCACCTACATACAGCAAAAAAACATATTAAGAAAGCAAAAACATTCTGGAAAGCCAATTCTAAATAGCAAAATTTCCCCAAACAAGCAACAAGTCTGGAACCTAAAACCTCAAGTGGCAGAACATGAAAAATTAATTTGTGACTTCTAGTTTCCAGTTTAACATATAAGGAACTTAGAAGTCACCACTTCTCCTAATGAGTAAAAAGCAAGCTGAAAAATCAACAACCCTTCCCATAACCAGAAGTGACAGGAGCACAAAGCTCAGTGCCAGGAGAGGAAACCCTGAACTGGAACTGATGAGCTGCTTGAGGCTCATGTGGACAGCTCTGAATAACAATAACTCTAGGGGGACCCAGTCGTAAGGGGGACCCCTCCACTTTGTTGAGTTCTACCTCTAAGGAGCCCTTCTAGGCCCTCACAGTGAGTACTGGAGAAAATCCCTTCATGCTTCTAGCACAAGGAGGAGGAAAGAAACCATTTTGAAATATATCAGAACATTCTGATCTTAACAAGGCTTGATCTTGGAGAAACTCCTATATTACCAGAGTTGAACTACTTTAGGGAAAAGAAATAATCAACTGAGCCCGTTCTGGCCATCCTGTCCCACCTAAGGAGGTGGAGGGAACTGAGAAACGTGTACGATTCACAGTCCAGGGGCCAAACCTCACCAAAAGACTGAAAGACTACCACAGATTACAGAACAATCACCCTCCTCCAAAACTTACCATATTACTAAAAGCCTACTTACTGCTGGCTGTTCCTTTCACCTACATCATGTCCACCTTACAACATAAATTATAAGCCATACTCAAAAGGCCAAAAACAGTCTGAAGAGATTGAATAAGCATCAGAATCAGAGGCAGATATTGCAGGAATGCTGGAATTACCATAACAGGAAATTCTGTGTAATTATTATTTTTTTAAGATTTTATTTGAGAGACAGAGAGAGAGCAAGAGAGGGAACACAAGCAGGGGGAGTGGGAGAGGGAGAAGCAGGCTTCCTGCTGAGCAGGAAGCCCAATGCGGGGCTCGATCCCAGGACCCTGGGATCATGACCTGAGCTAAAGGCAGACACTTAACAACTAAGCCACCCAGGCACCTCCTGACCAGGAAATTTTTTAAAAACTATAATTAATACACTAAGAGTTTAATGGAAAAAGTAGAGCATGCAAGAGATGATAATGGGGGCACCTGGGTGGCTCAGTTGGTTAAGCATCCAACTCTTGATTTTGGCTCAGGTCATGATCTCACAGTTGTGAGATCAAGTCCTGCCTTGGGCTCCACGCTGGCCGTGGAGCTTGCTTAAGATTCTCTCTCTCCCTCTCCCTCACTCTATTAAAAAAAAAAATGATAATGTAAATTCTAAGAATCAAAAAGAAATGCTAGAGATCAGAAACATTGGCAGAAATGAAGTATGATGCCTCTGGTGGGTTCATCAGTAGACTGGACATGGCTGAGGAAAGAACTGCTGAGCTTGAGAATCTGGCAACAGAAACTACCAAAGCTGAAAGGCAAGGAGAACAACGACTGGGGAAAAAGAACAGAATATCCAAGAACTGTGGGCCAAGTGCCAAAGACCCAACACACATGCAATGGGACAACCGGGAGCAGGAGCAAAAGTAACAGAAGCACGATTTGAAGCAATCATGTCTGAGAGTTTCCCCAAATTAACGTCTGACACCAAATCACAGATCCAGGAAGCTCAGAGGACACCAAGCAGAATGAATGCCAAAAACTATACGCAGGCATATCATATCCATACTTCAGAAATCTGAAATAGCGAAGATAAAAAAGTTGTGAAAAAAGTCAGTGGAGAAAAACATCTTACCTACCGAGGAGAAAAGATAAGAATTACACGTAACTTCTCAGAAACCATGCAAGCAGAAGAAAGTGGAGTGAAATATTTAAACTGTTGAGAGAAAAAAATCCCCAACCTAAAATCCTGAACCCTACAATTCTCCAAAAGTGAAGGAGAAATAAAGGCTTTCTCAAAGAAAAATTGATGGTATCTGTCACCATTAAATCCATCTTGCAAGAAATGTTGAAAAAGATCTTGAGAAGGAAAATCATACTGGTCAGAAATTCGGATCTACAGAAACAAAGAGCATCAGAGAATGAATAAGTGAAGGTAAAATTAAAACCTTTATGTTTCTTTTTCTTAACTGATCTAATAGTTTATTCAAAATAATAGCAATGATATATTCAGTTATGTATGTTTATGTGTGTGTTGTGTATATATATATATGTCTATCTATGTTTATACATAAGTGAAATGAACGCCAATAATGATACAAGGGATGGGAGGGAAGAATTAGTAATATTTTGTTATTATGATGTACTCACAGTACCCATGAAGTGTTATCTGAAAGTGGACTCAGATTAGTTGTAAATATGTACTGTAAGCTCTAGGACAACCACTAAAAAAAAGTAAAGAATAACTGATATGCTAAGGAGAAAGAGAAAATGGAATCATATTAAATGCTCAGTTAAAACCACAATGGCAGAGAAGCATGTGGGTGGCTCAGTTGGTTAAGTGCCTGACTCTTGATTTTGGCTCAGGTGATGATCTCAGGATTGTGAATGAGCCCTGCTTTGGGCTGGGCATGGAGCCTGCTTAAGATTCTCTCTCTCCCCCCCTGCCCCTTCCCACCCCTGCTCATGTGCGCACTCTCTCTCTTACAAAAGGAAAAAAAAACCCCACAATGGCGGAAAAAGCATGGAAGACAAAAATAGGAACAAAGAACAAGGACAACAAATAGAAAACCATAACAAATACAGTAGAAATGAATCCACTTATATCAATAGTCACCTTAAATGTCAATGATCTAAATACACCAAATAAAAGATTGTCAGAGTGAATCAGAAAATAAGACCCAACTATATGCTGTCTACAAGAAACTCACTTTAAATGTAAAGACACATTAAGGATTAAAGTAAAAGGATGGAGGGGGACCTGGGTGGCACAGTCAGTTAAGCATCTGACTCTCGGGTTTCAGCTCAGGTCGTGACCTCAGGGTTGTGAGATTGAGCCCCACGTCAGTCTCAGCACGGAGTGTGCTTAAGACTCTCTCCCTCTGCCCCTCCCCTGCCCCGCCCCAGACTCTCTCTCAAATAAATAAATAAATCTTAAAAAAAAAAAAAAAGTAAACGGATGGAGAAAGATAACCATGCTAACACTAACAGAAAGAAAAGAAATAGTATCACACAAGGCAATTTATATATATTTCTTGACACCACTGCACCTGCTAGTAGATACCATTTCCAGTTAAAGAAAATAAGAATATTCAAATGACATGCCCAAAGCAATACAGCTAGTAACTGGACAGACAGGATTTAAGAAAAAAACTTATCATCTACATTTTCTAACAAACAATAGAAGGAACAATTTAAAAAAGAAAGAAAGAGAGAGAGAGGGAAAGACAGGGAGGGAGGGAAAGAAAGAGGCAGTAGCTGTATTAATTTCCAACAGAGCAGACCTCAAAAGGCAAGGAAAGTTATCAGGGATGAAGAGGGGTATCATGTGAAGGACAAATAAGTCACTATTCCAAGATACATGGGTCAATACTCTAAGATGACACAATAAGCCTTCATATATATGTGCCTAACAACAGAGAATCAAAATAAGTGAGGCAAAAACTGATGGAACTGCAAGAAAAAAATATTTTAACACTCTTCTATCAGAAATGGACAGATCTAACAGGCAGAAAATTAGGAAAGACACAGGTGAACTCAAAAGCACCATCAACCAACCAGATATAAATGACATCTACAGACTACTCCATGACAGTAGCAGATCACACATTCTTTTCAAGCTCACATGGCAAAACAGACCACATCTGAGGCCATAAACCACACCTTAACAAATCCAAAGGATAGAAATCATACACTGTCTGTTCCAGACTATAACAGAATTAAACTAGAAATCAACAACAGAGGTAACTGGAAAAGCCCAATATATCTGAAGATTAAACAACACTGCCAAAGAAGAAATCTCAAGAGAAATTTTAAAAATATACGGAACTAACTGAAAATGAAAAATACAACTTCTGAAAATGTGTGAGATGTAGCAAATGCAGTGCTTAGAGGGAAGTTTCCACACTGAATGCATATATTAGAAAAGAAAAAAGATCTAAAATCAGTAATCTAAGCTTCCCCCTTAGGAAACTAAAAAAGAAGAGCAAATTAAATCTAAAGCAAGCATAAAAAGAAAAATAATAAAAGAGCAGAAATCAATGAAACTGAAAACAGGAAATCAATAAGAAAAATCAATGAAACCAAAAGTTGGTTCTTTGAAAAGATCATAAAATTGATGAGCCTCTAGCTCACGCTACAGCCTAAGAAAAAAAAGAAGACACAGATTTCCAATATCAGAAATGAAAGAGGAGACATCACTATAGATCCCCCAGACATGAAAACGATAACAAAGGTTATGAACAACCCTATGACCACAAATTTGATAACCTAGGTAAAATGGACCTATTCCTAGAAATAATCTGCCAAAATTCACACAAGAAATAGGTAACATGAATAGGCCAACATCTATTAAAGAAATTCAATCAGTAAAAAAAAGGAACCTTCTGAAACAAAACACCCAGGCCAGCTGAATTCACTGGTGAATTTTTGAGGAAGAAATTATACCAATTCTCTATGATCCCTTCCAGAATACAGAAGCAGAAGAGTACTTCACTAACTCATTCTATGAGGCCAACACTACCCTAATACTAAAACCAGACAGACATTACAGGAAAAGAAAACTATAGCTCATTATCTCCAACATAAAAGTAAAAATCCCCACCAAAACATTAGCAGATGGAATCCAACAATGTATAAAAAGAATTACACATCATGAGGGTTAACCAACCAAGACTCCTCAGCATTTATGGAGCATGAGAATTATTTGCAAATGAGGTCAGACTCTGGTCCAACACAGCTACAATCGGTTTGTATCACCCACTTCCATGTCCAGAGTGCCCCACAATGTGGCAGGTCTGAAGAATCACCTT